TAGATTCTTTCCTTTCGTTACTAAATGAACAGCAGAACCTAATTCACTATTTGTGCCGCTTAAAAATATACAAATACCTGATAGAAAGGAAGAATAAACAATGTATTTTCCCTTTCTTAAATTTGCGTTCGCACATATTTACATCGTGAGGCATTCCTTTTCCAACGACAGCCCTTTTGTCTGATACATATCTATACCTGTTGTGACTAAGTAAATGGTTGAGTAACAACAAAAAACAGGTTTGCAGATATATCGCATATTAAACACTAAGTACACCAGAAGAGCATTACGCAACTAGTAAGAGTGTATCGAATGAACGAGCGCTCAATCTATTCACTGTTATATTTAACAGCCCCTCCCCCACCAGGAGGGATGTATGTGGCACAAGGCCGAGTTTAACGTAGGTTCCCCGAGCCCGTAGGCTCGGCCAAAAATATTCCCTTAGAACCCACATAAACGGGTTCAGCGTCTGTCTACCGACCCGGACGAAACTTTGCCATTCGGCAAAACCTCGTCCGGGTTCCTCTCTGCCCAAAGGCAGAGAGTTAAACAGCAGCTGCGAAAAGTCACAGCCTCCGTAGAACAATATATTCACGAGGGATATACGTGGCACAAGGCCGAGTTTACCGTGGGTTCTCCGATCCCGTAGACTAGGCCAAAAATATTCCCTTAGAACCCGTATAAACGGGTTTAGGTTTCTGTCTATCTCCCCGGACGAAACTTTGCCCTTCGGCAAAGCCTCGTCCGGGTTCCTCTCTGCTCAAGGCAGAGAGTTCGACAGTTCATTGTACCTTCTCTCCTACAAAATTTATAGTAGGCGGAAGAGTCTAACATAGACTCTTAGAGGGAGGACGCCACAACAGTACAATATACGTTTCAGTTGTGTTCCTTATCCTTTCTTCCTCTGTTTATTTTAAACCATTGACGATTTTTACTACGGAAGCTCATACGTATAAACGTCTTTTGCCATTGATTTACAATAGTACGAGTTTTTGTACGCAAAAAATAGGGTTCGCACTATACACATTCAATACACTGGTAATTGTTTTTGGAGTGGTTAAAAATCATGCATATTCGATGAACGGTTGCACTATACACAGGTAAATATTTTCTGGAGGTGTTAAATTTTATGCATTTCCGGTGACCGTGACCTGTCAGGTAGACCTACATTCTCGCAGTACCTTTGGCTAATAATAACGGTAAAGTTAAGCCGCTCTAGCCTGCCTCCCGTAGAATAGATTCTTTTTTTTTTTCTCTTGCTACATGAACAGCAGAAACGTTGTTTACTATGTGCGTCGCTTAAAATCTACGAATACTTTATGACAGTGGTCCTCAAACATTTTTTGAAGCCGGGGCCCACTTGAAATCCTATCAATAATTGTAGGCACACTCTATACAAATTTAGGAAAAATATCTTATAATGAAACATCCTTAAATTTTATTCTTTCTTGTGCAAATGGACATCTTCCAGGGCGAACCAGTGCGCCAAGGTGAACCATTTGACAACCACTGCTTTATATAAATGAAGAAACAGCAATGTTTTTTCATTTCTTCAAATTGCGTTCATCTTCGTTCGCACGTGTTTATGTCGCTGATATATTTCTTTCCCAACGGCACCCATTTTATCTGATATATATATATATATATATATATATATATATATATATATATATATCATATATACACGCATGCTGACAGATACAGACGAAAATGGAAACAGATCTAAGAACACACAGGGGTCAGTAAAACATTAAAAGATAAAATGCCGATAACTAATTCATCATTTTTCTCGGACCAACTTTAATTGTTTTATGACCCTTCGCGCAGAACTCTTCACTGTCAATTCAAGAAAGACATTCGGATCGCTAACACAAAAACAGAGAATGTCTCATATCGAGAATATTTAACATTGAAAAACATAAGGAAAAAATTAATTATTTTTAATAATATGTGGAAATCTCCGCCTTTTATCTGAAGACGGTCGCGAAACCAGAAACACGTGTAGTAAAATTATGGAAAATAAACCAATTTTGCAGATCCAATCTTAATATGGGCAAGAAGTGTAATTTATCACCTGAGAAAAGGCAGACCATCGACACATTACGCTGTGAAGGCTATAGTTTCCAAGATATAGCCCCAAAAGTTAGTTTCAGACATTGCAGTTAGCTCCGCTATTGTGAGAAATGTGGCGAAAATAACGATAGACAGCGGTCAGGATGGCCAAAATCCACTTCCAAATCACAAGATAAGTTCATCAAAATCTTTTTACATTTTATATGTCGTGTCCTTTCAGGACGTAGGCGATCATGGCTCACCACTTCTCCCTCTATCCCTTGTAGCTCTCAATACGTTTCGTCCCTCTGCCACCTCCCCCAGATCACGTTTTGTCATCCACTTGCTTAAGCCTGCCAGGTATGTCATGCATTGCTTTCCCTCCTTTCAGTTTCCCTGTATTCGACCTGTGAGTATCAGATTCTCCAGGCCCTCCTTTCTCATTACGTGTCCCAGAAACTTCAGCTGCCACTTCCTTATGTTAAGTATAAGCCTTCTCCTGGTTTGCCTCCTCTCCAAGACCTCATCGTTGCTCACACGCTCGGTCCATGAAATCCTCAGCATCCTTCTGTAGAACCACATCTCCGTCGCCTCGAGTCTCTTCTTCAATTTTGAGGAAACTGTCCAACATTCGCTGCCGTGAAGCTCAGTATTCTACCAAAGAGTTACCAAAAAGAGCTTCCTGTCTCGCAAGACTGCCTAGCTTTTGGAATGCGTCCTTGGATCTACAGATCTCAGTGTCGCACTTGCCGTCCTCCAGATCCCATTTTGTCATCCACTTGCTTAAGCCTGCCAGGTATGTCATGCTTTGCTTTCCCTTATCTCACTTTATCTCTATTCGACTCTTATGAGAAATGTGGAAGCAGGCAAAACTAGCGACAGACGGTGGTCAGGTCAGCCAAAATCCACTTCCAAATCCAAAGATAAGTCCATCAGAATCACCAGTCTTCGAAACAAGAATCTGAGAGTCCCTCAAATTGTTGGACAAATAAGTGAAGCCAGTGGAGCTAATGTGTCTGCAGAAGACTCACTTCGGCGGGCCAAAATGGCCGTTGTTTTGCCAGGAAACCACTGCTTAGACAGGCGAATAAACGTAAGAGATTCGTATGGGCGAAAAAAACATCAAAACTAGACTGTTGACCAATGGAAACGCGTCCTCTGGACCAGCGAATCCAAGTTTGAGATTTTAGGATCTCGGAGGTGAGTGTATGTGAGAAGAAGAACTAGTGAACGGATGATTACTCCTTGTGTTGTGTCACCTGTAATTGTGAAGGAAATGTGATGATCTGGAGTTGTTTTGCAGGTAATGCAGTTGGAAATATTTATCGGGAGCCAGGAATATTGAATCAAAATGGATATCACTCCAGGGCCACGCCATTCCTCATCTGGGACACAGCTGATCGGTGACAAATTTGGGCTTATGCAAAATAAAGACCCGAAATTTACCTCTAAGTTACGTAAAACCTATTTACAGAAGAAAACTGAAGAAAATAAGCTGACTGACATGGAATGGTTACCCCAATTACTTGACTGCAAACCCATCGAATTAGTTTGAATTGAACTGGTCCACAGAGTTAAAAAGCGACAACGAAGTAGTACAGAAACCTTGTGGACATTATTAAAAGAGGAATGGTAAAACATTACAAGTGAATATTTGCTTTCATTGGTTGAAAAAAAATGCAAAGAGGATGCTCAGTATTTATCAAGGCGAAGGGCGGATATTTTGATTAATCTCATATTTAGCATTTTTCATCTTTTTCTTTTGTTACAGAGAAAAAATTATGTTATGTAATCAATGTAATTATACATTTAATAAAAAAATTACCTAAATACTCTAAATTATTTCCTTTCTCTAGAAGTCTTAAAAATGTTAGGTGATCTTAAACTTTTGGAGAGTATATATATATATATATATATATATATATATATATATATATATATATATGTGACCATATTCATTGAAAGGATCTATATAACTATAGATACGTTAGTAAATAACTAAGACAAAATTCTAGATAATTTACATAAATCAGTCCAAGTTAGATTATCCACCAACTCCAGCAATGTTTTATGATTGATTTTTGTTTAAATAAGAACAAGTTTGGATAGCGGCTCGGATTGAGGAATCGGAGAGGCGAGTTCGAATTCCAGTTGAATCCATTACATTCACTTGCGTGGTAATACCCTTGGGAACGGTATGAATCTTCTTCTTCTCCGCCCCCCCCATACCAACTACGGGTAAATAGCAGGACAGACAGGGTTCTATAGCCTTGGTTGGCAACTGGTCTACCGCAGAAAGAAATGGCAACCTACTGCGGGAAAAAAATCTGCCTCGTCAGTCATGTATCGAAAGATACATGATCGCCTAAGCGTGTATCACGCATGGCACATAGCTGACTGAATCTCCCTTTGATTAAAAATTTTCTTTTTAAATTAAAGTATGAATATACACCATTCAAAATATAATTTTTTTTCTTTGCATATATATATATATATATATATATATATATATATATATATATATATATATATATATTCCGCTTATTTTAATTGCCAAATATGAGTTTAAAATTGAAAAAAAAACTTTAATCCTAGCATAATATATAACTACGCCAATATTGAGAGAACCAAAATTTATATTAAATTTAAATTGCGTAACGATGAGTTCATATTCAACAGCTGAACATTGTGTCATACATGGAAATCAGAGTCATGCTAGGAATGAAGGAGGGATATATATATATATATATATATATATATATATTTGGTAATCAAATTTGAATAAGTAATATATTTCTTGAAGACATTCTTTATTACATAACATGTTATGCTATTAAGAAAGAAATCAATGTATTTTCTCAAAATATCTTTTAAAATTTAATTTAGAAGGATTATGAATCATCTGAGGTATAAGACTATCTCTCTCTCTATCTATCTATCTAATTGAGTGTGTTCGTATCTATCTATCTATCTATCTATCTGTCTAGTCTAATTTTTTTTATCTATCTATCTATCTATCTATCTATCTATCTATCTATCTATCTATCTAATTGCGTTTGTTCGTATCTATCTATCTATCTATCTATCTATCAGTTTATTCTATCAATCTATCTATCGATCTATCTATCTATCTATCTTTGTTTGTTTCTATCTATCTATCTATCGATCTATCTAATTATCTATCTATCTATCTATCTATCTAGTCAGTTTTTATCTATCGATCTACCTTTTCTATCTATCTATCTTCAGATTTTCTATCTATCTATCTATTTCAGACAGTTCATATCTATCTATCTATCTATCTATCTATCTATTTATTCTTATCTATCTATCTATCTATCTATCTATTTTTATTCATTCCATTCATCTATCACAATGTTTTCTATTTCATCTATCTTTCATATCTATCTATCTGTTTTCATCTATTCATCTATCTGTCATCTATCTCTATCTATCTATCTATCTATCTATCTATCTATCTTCAGTTGAAAATGAAATGAAATAATAGCGAACTATTGGTCTTTGTTGTGTTTAAGGTTACAAGAATAAATACAATGAGGAATATTTTCTCACAATGTTTTAGAAGGTTTATAAATTGTAGCTGGCAGGCATCAGGAAGATTTCGATCTACTACTGTCAAATAAGTAAAAGAGTTTTCTCTGTGAATTGCTAGAATAAACCCAATAAGAAAGAGGTGAGAAAATTCAAGGTTGCTCTACTGGTTCCCAAATCAATACCGTCAAATATTGATTTATAAAACTTCACCCCCACCCCCACTGCCTCGTTTTCAACTTTTCCCTTTATTAAATTTCTTCTTCTTGATGATTACTTCTTGTAGTGCTGTTTACATTAACAAAATGTTTTATCTAATTTTCGCGCCGTTTTTTTTTGTTGTTGTTGTTGCTTTGCCTCTGGAATGAGCCGCCATATTTGTGTCTTTAATGGAAGATGACTCATTATTTTTCGTAAGCCTAAAACGTAGGAAGGATGAACAAAGAATTCGCTACACGCACTTGTAGGATGTAACTACGAGGTTAGAGCAGCAGACTGATATGTTAGAGAAGCAAGGTTCAGTGAAAATACCCGACTGGTAATACACGTACATAGAGGAACTCATCCACAGATGGGATCTATCTATCTATCTATCTATCTATCTATCTATCTATCTATCTATCTATCCATCTATCAATCTCAGAATTTGTTTCTACATCTCTATCATTATCTATCTATCTATCTAATTGAATTTGTTTACATCTATCATTATCTATCTATCTATTGATTTGTTCATCTATCTATCTATCTGAGTCTGTCCATCGCATCTATCTATCTATCTATCTATCTATTCAGTTCAATTGAGTCTGTTTGCATCTATCTATCTATCTATCTATCTATCCATCTATCTATCTATCTATCTATCTATCTCTCAATTGACATCTATTTGCATGTTCATATCTATCTATCTATCTATCTCCATCTATCTATCTCAATTGTCGTTCATTTATCTATCTATCCTCAGTTGTCCACATCTATCTATCTGTGTTCATCTATCTATTATCATCTATCTAATCTATCTATCAATCTTTATAACGATATAATTCTGTCTGTATCATTATAACTCTATACCATAATTTCAGTTATTCTATCTATCTCATTTATCTATCTATCTATCTATCTATCTATCAGTCTGCCCATCTATCTATCTATCTATCTATCTATCTATCTATCTATCTATCTATCTATCTATCTATCTAATTCAGGCTGTTCACATCTATCAATCTTTATAACGATATAATTCTGTCTGTATTATTCTGCATATATCTATATCACGCCAATTATTTTAGTTATCTATCTATCTATCTATCTATCTATCTATCTATCTATCTATCTATCTATCTATCTATCTCAGTCTGCTCATATCTATCTATCATCTATCTATCTATCTATCTATTTCTATCTATCTATCTATCTCAGTCTATCTATCTATCTATCTATCTATCTATCTATCTATCTATCTATCTATCTTTTCTTTTTTGTTTCACCTCATCTCGAAGAAAATAAATCTTGGTGACGATATACAAGTTGTGCTCCTATTAGACGTCATTCATTTATTCCTCCATTTCTTCTTATTGCCGACTTTTGCTTCACTGTTTATTTGATGGATGCTTCATTAGCTCCTAAAAGTTTATCAGCGGCTCAGAATTGGCTTGGGTGGGAGGGGATGTGAGTAGAGGGCATCAGTTGCGTATATATTTCAGCTCTCCACTGAGCCCACGATTAGATTCAATTTGAACTACAAATACTAACGTTGCCGTCTATTCATAATGCAAAGATTTCACATGGGATAAGATTAATGAAGCGTGCTTATTCTTTTAGAAACATACGGAGTCCTTTGATCCAAGGCTAAGATTATCTCAAATGATTCTGAATGACTCAGGAATGACACTGGATGATTCATTTCGATCAAGATGTGTATCACTTCTGATGTCTGGAACTGGAATCCAGAATCGTCTTCAGGTGGAATGTTGCGGATATATGCGATGAGGAATTACGAGACACTGTGGAAAAGCTAATTGTATATTCGTCCCGAAGGGCATTTTACGTTCCCTGTGTATAAATTCATTTGCAATTCTTCGATTTACTCATAAACAATGATAACTGGCTGAGACGTCACACGATTATAATCGCACACATATGCACACAGAGGCACATACATACATAGAAACATGCGCATACACGCGTACACAAACATGTATGTGACCACAGATGCGCGCGCACATAGCTAAGCATGGATGCACACATGTACACAAACACGCTCGCACATGCGCGCACACAGACGGGCGCTCGCACGCCTACGAATACGCCCGCATACAAACACAAACACGCGCACATACGCCTTAGCACACTCACGTACACACATATTCACGCATACGGACATGAGCATACTTATGCACACGCACATACATACACATGATCTATCTATCTATCTATCTATCTATCTATCTAATTGGGTTTGTTTGTATCTATCTATCTATCTATCTCAGTTGTCCACATCTATCTATCTATCTATCTATCTATCTATCTATCTATCTATCTATCTATCTATCTATCTCAGTTGTCCACATCTATCTACCTATCTATCTATCTATCTATCTATCTTTTTGTTTCACCTCATCTCGAAGAAAATAAATCTTGGTGACGATATACAAGTTCTATCTATCTATCTATCTATCTATCTATCTATCTATCTATCTATCTATCTATCTATCTAATTGGGTTTGTTCGTATCTATCTATCTATCTATCTATCTATCTATCTATCTAATTCAGGCTGTTCACATCTATCAATCTTTATAACGATATATTTCTGTTTGTATCATTCTGCATATATCTATATCACGCCAATTATATCAGTTATCCATCTGTCTGTCTGTCTGTCTGTCTGTCTATCTATCTATCTACACACATGCGCGTGCATACGCAGGGATACGCATAGAGAAGAGCGCTCATACGCCTACGAATAGGCACACATACAAACACACGCACATTGCATTCATCCGCGTGTGCACACATACATGGATATATACGCATACCCTTACACACGCACATACATATGCACGGTTATTACGCATAAACACACTCACGGCCATGCGCACATCTACTCACAGACGCTGACAATTACGCACGCACATAATACACGCGCACGCTCAAATCTATGCTTTCACACGCACATAGATGCACGCCCACATACAGGTATGCATGGACTCTCGCGTCTTAAGTAGAAGATTCTTCTAGTGTCGTAGAATGCAAAAAGTGAGAAAGGTTTGCGCCACTCTTTTGTCCAATGCCCGCCAAAGGCTGTCACGAGGTAAGCAAGGATGCAGGTTATATTTCAAAGTGACCTTTGTTACAGTTTTTGGTGTATATGTATGAATATATAACTAGTGAGTTAGACCAAATGCCTTCACTCGCTTTATAGTCCACCAATAGAAGGTTAACCAATCAGTATTGTATTGTATCCGTCGTGTATTAAGGCGGCCATTTTTGTTTACCCTACCCGAATGACCAGTGCCAACTTGTCAGGCGAAGATGACAGAAGGAAGAACTACGCCCTGCTACTTTGCTGCGATATCCACTGCTAACCTGAACTACGCCTTCCTATTGTCTCCGAAATATTCGCTGCTAACCTCTGGATTCTATACTCAAAAACGACCGTCAGGAATTTCTAAAAACCTCCCCCTAGATAGGCTGCCTTGCAAGGTTCCAGAGCACCCATTTGCAGATCAAGTTTTGTCTCCAGGCCGAATTCAGAGTTTTCCTTCTCCTAGACCAGATGACACCCAAGGCTATAGAACCCAGCTTTTATATAGAACCCTACTATTTTTGTCCTGCTATTTACCCATAGCTGTTGGTGGCGGGGTGGAGAGAAGATGGGCGTGAGAGAATCAGAAAACAAAAGCATTATTCGGGAGCAAGAACAATAAAATACAACGAGGAAGACAGTAGATCAGTTAATCAATTATGTGCCATACGGGATAAATGCTTAGGCAATCATGTATCTTTCGAGGCAGTTTTTTCCCCCAGTAGGTTGCCATTTCTTTCTGCGGTAGACCAGTTGCCATCCAAGGCTATAGAACCTGGTCTGTTCTGCTAATTACTCATAGCTGGAAGGAAAAGAAGAGGATTCATACCTTTCCTAAGGGTATTAGCACATAAATGAATGTAATGGATTCAGCTGGAAGATAAATTTATGTCTTTCCCAAGGGAATCAGTGTGAAAGTCAATGCAAATAAGGGATCAGTCAGTTATCTGCCATGCGTGATACACGCTTAGGCGATCATCTATCTTTCGATTCAGGATTGACGAGGCAGATTTTTCCCCCGCAGTAGGTTGCCAATTCTTTCTGCGGTAGTCCACTTACCATTCAAGGTTATAGAACCGGGTCTGTCCTGCTATTTACCCATAGCTGGGGAGAAGACGAGGATTCATACCTTACCGAAAGGTATTAGCACGTAAGTGAATGTAATGAATTCGACTGGAAGATAAATTTGTCTTTCCCAAGGGCGTCACTTTGAAAGTCAATACAAATAAGGAATCAATCAATTATGTGCCATGCGTGATACACGCTTAGGCGATCATGTATCTTTCGAGGCAGTTTTTTTCCCGCAGTAGGTTGCCATTTCTTTCTGTGGTAGACCAGTTGCCATCCAAGGCAACCTGGTCAGTTCTGCTATTTACCCATACTCCTGGGAGGAGAAGAAGAGGATTCGTATCTTTCCCATGGGTATTAGCACCTAAGTGAAAGTAATGGATCCGACTGGAATTCGAACTCGGCTCTCCGATTCTGACATAGTGTTTTTCACTGACAATTATTTGTTAAGTCTACCGCTAAGAAAATATGGTTCACTGTGTGATGCTAGACAATTTTCTCTCAACAGAATCTAACTCACATATTTATGAGTCCTTGCTTTTAATATTGTTGCCATATCTGGT